AGAAGCTACCCCAGTTCCCAGTTCCACTCCTGCCTTCTTGAAACCTCTCCTAGCTTCTTATTCTGACGTTTTTGCTACTCCCTCTTCCCTGCCTCCAACCCGCAGCTTTGATCATTCCATTCCCCTTTTACCAAATGCTAAGCCCATCAACATACGACCCTACCGTTTTCCACACCATCAGAAGGCTGTGGCTGACAAATTAGTATCGGAAATGCTTGCCTCTGAGTTCATACAGCCGAGTCACAGTCCCTATGCTTCCCCGGTTCTATTGTAGAGTTACATGGTGCAGTCATCTTTTCTAAGCTCGACTTACGGGCTGGTTATCACCAAATCAGAATGCACCCTGACGATCAATTCAAGACGGCTTTTAGAACTCATCAGGGGCACTATGAGTTCAGAGTGATGCCATTCGGCCTCACCAACGCCCCAGCAACCTTTCAATCGCTTATGAATCACGTGTTTGGCAGATATCTGCGAAAGTTCATCCTTGTTTTCTTTGATGACATATTGGTTTACAGCAGGACAGAGGAATCACATCTTCAGCACTTGGGCATTGCTTTACAACTGCTACGTGAGAATAAGTTGTTCGCCAAAGAGTCCAAGTGTGCTTTTGGCCAATCCAAGGTAGAGTACTTGGGACATATTATTACCAAGGAGGGTGTTTCCACCGATCCAGCCAAAGTTGCAGCAATAACGACATGGCCTCGCCCTGGAAGTGTGAAGCAATTAAGGGGATTTCTTGGGTTAACGGGCTATTACAGAAAGTTCATACGGAACTATGGTACCATCAGCAGGCCATTGACGCAATTATTGAAGAAGAATGGGTTCCAATGGAATTCTGCAGCTGAAGAAGCCTTCGAGAGTCTTAAGAAAGCCATGTGTACAGCCCCTGTTCTGGTTTTACCCGATTTTTCTCTTCCTTTTGTGCTTGAAACAGATGCAAGTGGAGTTGGTGTTGGAGCGGTTCTCTCTCAAGGGGGTCGCCCCCTGGCTTATTTCAGCAAGGCCTTGTGTTTGCACAATCAAGGGTTGAGCACATACGAGAAGGAATACTTGGCGGTTCTCTTGGCAGTGGACCATTGGCGGCATTATTTGGAGGGTCGTCCGTTTACTATTGTGACGGACCATGAGAGCCTAAAGTTCCTGCTTGGGCAGAAGGTGCACACAGCAATTCAAAAAAAGGGGTTAGTGAAGCTTTTGGGTTTGGATTTTCAGATTCAATACAGGAAGGGCAGATTTAATGGTGCGGCAGATGCTTTGTCAAGGGTATTTGAAGATGACAAGGTAGAGGGAACTTGTAGTGCTCTAACCACAGTGTTACCTGAATGGTTAGTGGAGATAGAAGAAACATATGTGGGGGATGTGGAAGTGTCAGCTTTGATAGCTGCTAGTGATGTTAATTCTTCTGGGCCTTCTCTCTGGTCTTTTTCCGAAGGCATCCTTCGTTACAAAGGAGCCATTGTAGTGGGCAGCACTGGGTCCCTACGCTCAAAGTTGATTCATTTGTTTCATTCGTCGCCGGTGGGAGGTCATTCAGGAGCACAGGTTACTTATCAAAGACTTAAGGGGCATTTCTTTTGGAAGGGCATGAAGGCTTCAGTGGTAGCATGGGTATCTCGCTGCGATGTGTGCCAGCGTTGTAAGGCGGAGACAATAGCTTCCCCCGGTCTGCTTCAACCTCTCCCTATTCCCATCCGAGCTTGGCGCGACATCAGCATGGATTTCGTGGAAGGCTTACCGACTTCTAAGACTAAGCAGGTTATTTTGGTCGTAGTGGATCGTTTTACCAAGGTTGCCCATTTCTTCGGCCTGAAACACCCTTATACAGCTGCAGAGGTAGCGTTGGTTTTCTTCGATGGAGTGTTCAAATATCATGGTATGCCCTCTACAATTGTTTGTGACAGGGATGCCACGTTTACTAGCCAATTCTGGACAGAGTTCTTCCGGTTACAGAACACGGACGTCCATTATTCGACGGCGTACCACCCACAAACTGATGGTCAGACAGAAAGGGTGAATCGCTGCTTGGATGATTACCTCCGTTGTATGACTTTTCAACGACCACAAGACTGGGCTGAGTGGTTGACGTTGGCAGAGTGGTGTTATAACACCCATTATCACCTCAGCTTGCAGATGACGCCGTTCGAAGCTCTCTATGGGTTTCCACCTTCCCATTTTGGTTTAGCTCCCTCGACTGCTACTCCTGTTGGGGCGGTCGAAGATAGACTCAAGAAGCAGCATCAACTGGTGCAGTATCTCACGGATAGCATCACGAAGGCGCAGAACAGACAGAAGCAATACGCTGATAGACGACGATCAGAACGGGTTCTGCAGGTCCATGACTGGGTTTATTTGAGGTTGCAACCGTATCGCCAAGGTTCCGTGGTTGGAAGGCAAGGGAGTAAGTTGGGCGCTCGATATTTTGGGCCATATAAGATTGAGGCAAAGATTGGAGCAGTGGCCTATCGGTTGGCTTTGCCAGTTCAGTCAAAAATCCATCCAGTTTTTCATGTTTCGCAGCTGAAACTCTGCAGGTCAATAGTTCCTCCTGCTGCAGTTCACCTTCCGGATGCTGACGACAATGGCTCTCTCAAACTGGAACCAGCTCAGCTCTTGGCACGAAGATTTATCAACCAGAACAATCGTGCTGTGACGCAGGTGTTGGTCCGCTGGGTTCACCAAGCTATTGAGGATGCTACCTGGGAGGATTTGGCTACTTTCAAGCGGCAATTTCCTACCTTTCCAGCTTGAGGACAAGCTGAATTTGAAGAGGAAGGGTTTGTAACGAACTGGAAGCCAGCTGGCAGGATGATGTAATCAGGAGCGTAGGAGTATAAATGAGAGAGACGTGAGAGGATTGGGTATCTTTGTCCAATAACAGAATTGTAGCTTACTTTACCAAATTAGCTATTAGTAATAAAGAATCCTCTCTTTCCCTTCCATTCTCTTCGCTTCTTCTCTTCCAAATTCCATTTCGCCAGAGCACTCCATTGACGGTCCTTACACTTTACTGCTTGAAGATCGGGTTCTGGTTCACGCTACTTGGGTTCTTGATGTCCTGCCACCTCCTGATCTCCACGTAGTGAAACAGTATGAACTCGATCACGAACAGCGTCGAGGATGACGCAAAGTAGTGATGCTTCCCTGCGTAGTACCATTTAGGAGCGCTAATGAGCCCAATCTTGGTGAACAATGGTAATAGTGAACCAGGGTTTGGAGTGGTTCGACTTGACTGTGTCTTTTTCTGAAAACGTGGTGTGGTATTAGTATTCACTATTGATGCACCAAAGAATTAAAAATATTTGGCATAGTTGTGACTGAGTTTAGTGATTGAAAGGGAACCGTCGATTTTGTTGATCGGACGGTGTGATTTGCAGGGTTTATCCTTTTATCTGCCTCCAATATCCATAGCTATATGTTTCTTCTTTTCTGTTGGTTGTGGTCGTTCCATGCCAAACATAGTCAATATATTATTAACACAAACAATAGCTTCTACTTTCTTGGCCAATGGGAGAAGGGCATGTACTTCCATCTCAGGATCTCCTATCCTTTCTTCCCGGCTGAGCTTGTAATGCTAATTCATCACAATAAATTTGACCCTATGCTCGCAGTTGCACGTTTGATGAGTTATAGGCTTGTTAGGAAAACCCATTTACCATGGGTAGGCATCCAAACAGCAAAGTCGCTTAGGTTAATATACAAAAGCATTCCCATTTGAAATATTACGAAACATAATCTTATGGTTATCATGGACATGGTCAATCGTAACTGTCTGATCGGGAATACTGGAAACTGGACCTTACACAGTGATTTTACCGGTACAAAACAGTTGAACCACGATTTTTATAAAAAATGTCCTATTTTTAACTTTTCAAGTACAATTGTCGGTACGGTTTCACAATCATTGTTGGTTATAATGTAGAAAGAAGAAGTTTAATGGTCCATATCATAAAAGGGTAAAAAGAATAAGTAATTTAGGAGAGCCGATAGGATTTATTGGGCCGTTGGACGGATTTTTAGCGCAAGCGCGGATTTACAAGCGTGCTTTTAAAGCACTTTTTCATACCTTCTTTGAAAATTCAACGAACCATATCTCATTCGTTTTACTTCAGATTTCCAAAAATTTGGGGTAGAAATATTATGTTTTTTGTGCTCTACAAGATGATGTCCAATCTGATATTTTTGTTAAAAAAAATTCACATCATCTTCTCACTATCATATCATAATATTAGGGTAAATACAATATAATAATTTGATGACATCATATCACTATCATATCATGATACTATCACTATGGTATGTAGATAATATTATGTTATGATAGTTGTATGACGTGCAATTAGTCTTACTATAGTGGTAAGAACAAAATCACGCTATAGCATATATAACAATGATAAGATTACAACAAATATGTGTTTTGAATTGATTAATTTTTTTTTCTCAAAATATAACAAAATGGGTATTATTGTGTAGATCATATCTAATGCGTTCTTTCAATATTTTTTTCCTGAATTTTGAGTAAAAACGAATGAGAAATTATCCAATTAATAAAAGTTGGAGTTAGAGAAAAGTAGATTTAGACTAGTCTAAAAAATTCTCTGTTTCTTTGAGATTTGTGACAGACTGTAAGCTAATAAAAGGTAGGAAAGTGAAATTACAAGGGGCCTTCTTTATGCCCATTTTCTTATTAGTGTGCGTTTTAGGCTGTTACATTAAATAAAATGGACGAATATAGATTGGATTTTGTATCCTATCCGTTCCCATATTTAATTGGAAAATTGATAAGAATGATTTGGATGTTGTTTCCTGACATTTATAAATTAAATAATGTGATGGTTCAGTTTGGATTTTTTTAACATTCACCTAAAAATTGCTATTTTGATATTAAAGTAATCGAACGTGTGCAACGAAACCTTGATCTCAGCACAAAACGCACCAATTCATTAATACAATTCATGGTCTGGCCGTGATCCTTGCACTACCCACGCCCTCGCACAAGAACTTTATGTTCTATTTCATTAATAAGTTTTGTTCTGGCCAAGTCGATTATGGTATGTTCGTTGTCCAAATTTAATGTCATTATATATAGTAGATTGCACACACACAATGATTTAGCACCTAACTGTATGTTAAGTATCATTAGCTTTGGTTCAATAGGGATTGGACGACCATCAATGTTTGACTTTGTTATTAAAGAATTTGTAATACTTGTCTAGAAGTTTGAAAATTATATTCATATCCAGAGGTCAACGATTATTGGAAAGTTTATTTTGTTCTCTAATATCATCAACCTTTATTGAAGCAAAGTGTCTTTCGCTTCTAATTAACATATACATCTTTAGATAAACTACCACGAAGCACGAGCCAATTATCTAGTATATATTACACACGCTATGAGGGTGGAAGGAGAAGAGCAGAGCATAGAACATAGACGTATACAGCAAGAACCGAGAGGTTGGGCAATTTGCAAAGATAGAGAAGAGTGCATGACTATTTCTTGGTGGTGGCTTCTTCCAACTCCGGCAGCCCATCAACCTTCTGCTCAATTTCCTCAATCAACTCTTCCCTCCACAGTGCTGCTCGTGCTGCTTCTTCGATATCCTCTTGCTGTGTGTTCCACAAAAATAACAAAGGAAAACATCACCCAAAAATATTCCCAATTTTGGGAAAACTATTTTCCCAATTTTGCAAGTGATTGGTAGTACTGAAACGGTTACCTTCTCATACACCCAATGTCCAGTCCCATCTCCTCCATCCTTCCTATATGCATCTGAATCATAATAAGGATCCTGATACCACATCACAAGATTACCTCAAATTCCAAGATATTCCACTAACACCCATTCAGAAGATAAAGTCACTCAAATTCTTGGGAATGAAGGAGATGGTGGGTTACCTTGGTTGAACCAAAGAACAAGCATCCCCAGCAGAAGAACATGATGTAGAACATATCTAAACAAATTACCCCATCCATTACACACAGCGCCATCCATCAGCGGTCGAATTATGATATGGAAACAAGATGATGGAAACTTACAGACGTTCTTGATGGCCTGATCGCTGAGATGCCATATGGATTTCACAGTGATGAGGTCTCTCTGGCCTTCCATGTGCTGCACCAGAACTGCCATTAGATGAAACTGATCCCCAGCTGGAACAGCATTCACCCTCACTCTCCTGCTCAATCCGCCGCAATTCTTTCTCTGATAAACACCATTGCCGCCCCCTTCAAGCTACGCCAGTAAACATTATCCAGAGGGGTAAAGGAAAAACAACCCACAAACAAACTACTGCTAACTTGATTGATTAACTAATGCAATCTCACTACCTGAACCTGTTGCAGCGCCCCAATGGGAACATGATTCCCGTACGATGACCCTCTTTGCCTTAGCTGCATAGAAAATAAAAGAAGCTGTAACATATACCTTCTAGTTGAGAAGCTGCAAGCATTTCGCCAATAATTGTGGGTTACCGATGAGAAGCCTGAACTTGAACTGGGATTCATTGAGAATCCCATCATAGCTTCAGCCATAAAAATTGCTTCGCTGCCCCTGACCTGAGTAGGTGGTGGGCACAAAAAGAAATCAGGGTTGGGGAGTATTTTTTTCAAATGACATGTTAAGTGGCTGGTATATTTTGCTAACAAGGAACAAGTGGATAAGGAAATATTTCTGTCCAGGCACTTCTCTTCCTCAGCGTTTATCTTATTTGATTCATGAAAAATATTTTGAAGAATTGTATCAGCACAAGTACCCAAAAAAGCTGAGTTACCGATATTAAGAGAAAAATCAGAAACATTGTTCAGAATGGGCGATGGCCAGTTGCGGAAAGTTGGATTGCATATCAATGGCTAGTGGTTAGCATCCGGTTTGGTAAACCCAGATTTAATTGAGTTCTGAATAGATCGAACCAAATTTAAATGTTCATCTTTTTGAAAATTGAAACTCCTAAGCTAAACTTGGTGTTCGGTTAGGAATTAACTGAACTGAACAACTGACCAAACAAACTGAATCCCACACCCAACCATAAATGTAAGCTCGCCGAAATACCAAATCTCATGATGCAACTGACCAACTCCCCTAGCCCAAGGATTCATAGTGCCAAGTCCAGTAATTCACTGACTCACTCAACCTAGAGGGCTCAATCTAAACCTAAGGCGATAGAGCAGTCCATTTCCCTAACCCCAATCAGCAAGAGATTGGCATCAGCTCGTGACTTCTCTAAGTGTCTAACTCTCTGTTTCCCGGCAAGGAAAATTGAGTGAACATAATTGAATTTGCACCTTGACTACTTCTTGCACAACGACAAAATAAACACAGTTCACACCTCTTTGAACAAAGTTCACACAAGGGTGTTCAATATTTTGATGAACTACGAGATAGATCTACATTAAATTAGCCCTGAACTTATAGAAGTTCAGTGAGAACTCCAGAACTACAACTATGGCTAAAAATTGAAGAGCAAAAGATAACTCAGTTCACACATCTGCAGACGTTGGAGCGACGATTACCATTTTACTTGCTCCGGCATCGACTTGACAATGAACGTGTCATCCTCTTCACTCTCGAACCCCTATGCTTGATAGCTTCTCCTTAGCTTGAGTAGAACACCATATTTGTCGAGATGGTAGAAACCTACGAGAGTGGCATACTTAGCCAAATTTTGGTAAGATCTCACATCCCAAGGGGTATACTCCATCACACACCTTGCCACCATTTCTCAGACTTAGTCAAATTTTACCCCACATCACCCTCTAGTGTGGCACTAGGGGGTGTGTGATACCCCCATTGACCACACTATATGGGGGTTATGTATTGATGATCCCTTGACAACACCATTGGTTGGGGGAGGGGGTGCTCCAACACTTATCCAATTTTTTGAATGGACCGCTTGAGAGTGGCGCGCATGATGATATGGGGTTTTGGGTCCAAAAACCCAATCCAAGTAGCCCATCTTAATCTGTTTTAATTGCTATAATTAAGTTAGCCTTATAAAACAATTTGATCTTTTATATTTAACCAATGTGATACAAGTTAAATTTTGGTATAAACAAATGCCCCAACAACTTAGTGCATAAGAAACCCATTCAATATCGATACCCATTCACAATCACCTTCCTTAGCCAACTAAAACAAACCTGACTCAATGCTGAACTTTTCTTTTATCACATACATTGAAGACAAAGGAAAACGAGTTGAGCAGGCTTGTGGTTCGAAAAAAAATCACTACTTTGGATATGTTGAAAAGTAGGGGAAATTTTGGATGACAAGTGTTTGCTATGTTCTGCTAGGAAGGAAAACCGGGACCATTTGTGTTTTCAGTGCATATATACTTACAATATTATAAAGGGATGCCTACAAATGATTGATATGAGGTGTCCCTGGCTTGCTTAGTATGAGGATTATCTAAATTGGGTTGGTCGGTGACTCGGGCCTACATGTACATTTTTTATCCCCGTTTTTTTTTTGGTGTTTGTGGCATTTGAGCTCCTAAAAGGATGGTTTTACGATAGGATTGCTCTGTTTCAATGTGTTTCAGAATTTAACAGGTGGAACCAACCTCAGAGTTGAAAGTTGGAAGAAAAGGCGTGAGGATCGGGCAAAGAGGAGGTAGCACCCGCAGTTCACTGTCCACATATTGAGTTCACGGTCATCAGAATTGTGAACTGGAGCCACAAACTGAAAACTGGCAAGGTTCCAGAGAGTTTTCAGAGTTTACTGATGTTGAGTCAATTCAGTGTCGTAAGACAATGAACTGATACCATGGACTGCGAACCAGTTAAGTGAAGCGGTGCGTTTCAGACTGAGTTCACGGTCCCCACCATTAGTTCATGGTCGTGAACTGGGACTGTGAGCTGGGCGCGACCTGTGTATAAAAGGAGAGCTGAAAGGAGGAAGAAAGAGAGCCCAAAAGGGAGAGATACCTTCTTCTTCTTGAAAACATAGAGAGATAAAGCCATGAACCAAGAGGGAGAAGAAGCTAGGGTTTGCTCCAAGTCAAGATTTGGGAAGTTCCTATTAAAGAGAGGATCTCTACAAGCACAAGAAAGGATTGAGGCATCACAATGATGGTTATTTCCTTTTTCCTTTGTGTTCTTTCTTTTTCTAGCATGGAGTAGTCTCCTTTTCACTAGGGTGTTGTAGAACCCTGACTTCTACCATGTAGTTGATTGTGTGGGTTGAATGATTGTGTGTGAGTGGTGTTTAATTTAAGATTTGAGGAATTTTTCATGGTGATTGTGCATTGTGTGTGCTTGGCAATCTATTGTGCTATTATAACCTAACTTAGAGGGAAACCCCCTTATCTTAAGAGGCTCAAATTGAGATGGATTTTCTTGGGCATTCCATGTCTCCAATCTAGGTTAATGTAGGGCAAACCTCTAAACTCAAATTGAACACCTAGGTTGATTGTGATTAAGCCGTCCAAACCCCGGTTTGAGGGAGAAGGTAAGTCAACCCTAAATTGCTCGGTCCAAGAGGGCTACAATTGTAGCCTGTAATGCATTCCTTGGCCTAGCAATTAAGAGTGTGGTTTCTAACCATTGTTGCTCCTTCTAGCGATTCAAAATCGCCTTGTCGCACACTGATTCATTCGATCCCACGGTTCATGGTAGTTAGTTAAAGGGAAACAACTCCTGAGTGAAGCTTCTCACCAAGAGTTTCAATCCTTTTACTTTTCAAGTCTTGCTTCTTAATTGTAGATTGTAGAGATTTTTACAAACAACGTTCCGCTATATAATGTTTCAAAAAATTGAAGTAAGGGTACATGGGCCGGCTCGGGTTGATATTTAAACATACTTTCCCTATATTGCACCCATTTAAGGTTTATACTTGGGCCTTAGGTGGGATATAAGTGTGATATTCGGGATGAGTCGGTCGTCAATTTAAAGATAGGAAGCCACTTGCCATGGTTGGTAGGCTTGTTTGGAATATGGTGGTAAGCATGATTTGGCGAGAACGGTGTGGTAGAGTTTATGGAGGGATAGAAACTCGACATGGGGAGGCAATCGACACGATTCAGAGGCTGATTGATTTACCTCGAGTAGGAGCTGAAAGCTTGGATGTTGATTGTAGGAAATTTTTCTTGTATTAGCTTTATTTTGGTTATGGTACTCTTGTATAGAAGTTCCTTTGTGTCTTTGCTTTCTGCATATTGGTTATTCTTTTGTAATGATCCAGGTGTGTCATCCTTGTTTGGAGGATAATTGAGCTTTAATATTATTTTTTTTATATTTCCCTAAAAAAATGGTCGAGCAACGACCTTGCTTTATGGTCAATTAAACCTCGCACTTGATTAAATTTCAAAAAAACTCCAAAAGCACATCCTTGTTTTCGTTGACTCATCCCAAATATCACAATAAATATTCTTATTAAGGCCCAAGTATAAACCTTAACTAGGTGCAATATAGGGCAATTATGTTTTAAAAGTCAAACTCGGGTCGGTCCATGTACCACTAATTCAATTGTTTGAAACATTATCTAGAAATCGAGTTTTTGTTGAAACTATGAACTAAAATTGAAAGTGATTGGAAAAATAAATGGTTTTGAACACTAATTGAGAAGGCTTCACCCGGGTGTTGCTCCCCCTAGCTAGTAATTATGATTTTTCGGATCAAATGCAAACATATGGTAAAAGTGGTTGTAAATCGTAAGGAAGCGCAACAAGTGGACAAGCTTCACTCATCGGCCATTAGGCCAAGGGATATCAAATCAAGCTACCAAGGTAGCTCCAATCGACTAAGGATTGCTTAGGATTCTCCCTCGAACCTTAGTTCAGACGGCCAAAATACAACCTACCCAAGATGCTAATTCGCATGAAGAGGTTTTCCCTAATTCAACCTAAGTAGGTGTCACAATTTGGCCAAGGAATTCCAGCTTTTACAAGCCTCTTAGCAAGAAGGGTATTTCCCTCTACCTTGGTTAAAATTGGCATGATATTTGGAAATGCAAAAACACAACACAACCTTCATGAAAATACCTCAAAACTTGTATTAAAACACAACCACACTGATAGACCGTTAATTACACATGTTTTTACCCCTGTTCTTACACCGTTTGAGGTGTTGATTCTCGTGTTTTAGGCCGATTTCACGCTAGGTTGTGCTTGTTTGTCATATTTCAGGTCCTAGTATGTGAATGGAGGCTTGGGAGCGAGTTTGGGGTCGATTGGACGAGAATCGGACGCGTGGCGAGGTGCTAAGGAAGCTGCACGGGTATTACTGGAAACCACACGGCCGTGCAACTCACATTTGTGGCCGTGTGGTTTTTGTCGAGAGCATGCACGTGCAGGATGGAAATCTCGCACGGCCGTGCGACCCTGGCCGTGTGGGAAGCCTAAGATCGAACTAATTGGAAGGCAGCCTTTTGACTCGCACGGGCAACTGGGTGAGCCACTCGGCCGTGTGGCCTGCCCGTGCGAGTCGGGAAATCATGGGTTTTCAGCCAATTTCGAGCCACAAGGGGGAGGATCGGAATTTTTGAGCAAAAACAGAGCCCTAGAGAGAGAAAGTGCGAAGAACACATCCTAGAAGCTATCTTGGAGCTGGGTTTCATCAAATCGAGCTTGGAGATCGTCCTAGGAGTGGAAATCATCATCCCGGAGCAGATTTTCCTCATCTTTATGAGTATGACTACTCCGATTACTGTTTTCCTCTCTCTCTCTCTATGGAGTAGAACCCCTCTCTCACTTGGGGATGAAGAACCCTAGTTCTATGTGTTAGGGATTGATTGTAATGACTTGGGATGATATTACTGTTTGATTTTAATCGAATGATGCATGTTTATTGAGTCAATTGAAGTCTGATCAACTTTTCCTGATTCCTGCTGCAATCTGAGATAGATAGAATCTGATTAGGTTGCTAGAGTCTCATCATTCGATAGTAGGAGATTGGCTATACGAGAGTTAGCCAGTTTACTGCTTTGTACTGGAATCCAATTCCAGTAGTGGAGTTCTGTTCTTACTGCTTCAGCTTTCTATCCCGGTGAAGACTAGTCGTCTGCCGGGTAGATAGACTGAGAGGGCTTGGTCAGCTTAAGAGATTCCAAGCTACTGTCGGATCTTCCGCAGTCTAATCAACAGTAAATCAACCCAGGGAAATACAATTGAAACTTACCTAAGGAGCTAGGGGGATTCTTTCCCGAGTGACTCTTACCTGCTTGAGAAAACCGAATAATTTCCTGTTTTCTTTCTGCTTTTGCTTTTAAACAACAATCACTTACTTTAGTTGGCTAGATAATAGAGAATCACGGAGTAAGCAGTAGATCTAGACCCCGGGTTGATAATATAACTTGCCTTTTACTGCATTCCCGGTCTGCGATTACACTTGGTCGCAGATTGGTGTTGTGTTTTGGCGTGTCAAGTTTTTGGCGCCGTTGCCGGGGATCCTCTAGGTTATTGGGGAAACGTGAGAATTTGTTACTCTAGCCTTTTAATTACTGCATTTTATCTCTTCCCCCTAAGTGCCTTCACGGGTTGTTTCTGCTGATTGTGTGCAGGTAGTGCATGACCCGTAGCCAGTCGGGAGATCTACTACCACTAGACCAGGAGCTTGAACGAACCTGCAGAAGCTTCAAGCGGGCTCTAAAGGCGCAACTGGCTGCGGAGGAGGCGCTATCACAGCTGCAGTTAGAAGAAGAGGAAGAAGAGATGGCTGATCCACAGGGCCATGCTGTGATCGATCCCGAGGAGCAGACCATGGGACATTACTGGACCGCCAGGGCTGCAGACATGAGGTCACCTATTCAACACCCTCATGTCCCAGCCAATAATTTTGAGGTGAGCACCTCAGTAATCACCATGCTGCGCGGTTCGGTGATGTTCCGTGGTAAAGAGGGGGAGTGCCCTCGTTCACATCTCAGGCGATTCCACGAGCTCATTGATGGAATCAAGATCAATGGGGTACCAGCAGATGCCATCCAGCTGAGGTACTTCCCATTTACTCTGGAGGGGCAAGCCAAGGAGTGGCTAGACTCTCGACC